AGGTATGTCATAGTGGTTAACCATCTAGCCACTTGCTACTGACTCAACTAGAGGTATGTTACAGTGGTGAACTATGTAGTAATTTGTAACTGACTCGACTATATAGGTATGTCACAGTGGTGAACCATCTAGCCACTTGTTACTGACTTGACTAGAGGTATGTCACAGTGTTGATCCATCTAGTCACTTGTTACTGACTTGACTAGAGGTATGTCGCAGTGGTGAACCATCGAGTCACTTGTTACTGACTTGACTAGAGGTATGTCACACTGGTGAACCATCTAGCCACTTGTTACTGACTTGACTAGAGGTATGTCACACTGGTGAACCATCTAGCCACTTGTTACTGACTTGACTAGAGGTATGTCGCAGTGGTGAACCATCGAGTCACTTGTTACTGACTTGACTAGAGGTATGTCACAGTGGTGAACCATCGAGTCACTTGTTACTGACTCGACTATATAGGTATGTCACAGTGTTGAACCATCTAGTCACTTGCTACTGACTCGACTAAAGGTTTGTCACAGTGGTGAACCATCTAGTCACTTGTCACTGACTCGACTATATAGGTATGTCACAGTGGTGAACCATCTAGTCACTTGTCACTAACTTGACTAGAGGTTGTCACAGTGGTTAACCATCTAGCCACTTGTTACTGGTTCAACTATAGGTATGTCACAGTGTTGAATCATCTAGTCACTTGTTCCTGGTTCAACTATAGGTATGTCACAGTGTTGAATCATCTAGTCACTTGTTACTGACTTGACTAGAGGTTGTCACAGTGGTGAACCATCGAGTCACTTGTTACTGACTCGACTGGAGGTATGTCACAGTGGTGAACCATCTAGTCACTTGTCACTGACTCGACTACAGGTATGTCACATTGGTTAACCATCTAGTCACTTGTTACTGACTCGACTAGAGGTATGTCACAGTGGTGAACCATCTTATCACTTGCTACTGACTGAACTCGAGGTATGTCACAGTGGTGAACTATGTAGTAACTTGTAACTGACTCGACTAAAGGTTTGTCACAGTGGTGAACCATCTAGTCACTTGTTACTGACTTGACTAGAGGTTGTCACAGTGTTGAACCATCTAGTCACTTGTTACTGACTCAACTTGAGGTTGTCACAGTGGTGAACCATCTAGTCACTTGTTACTGACTCGACTAAAGGTATGTCACAGTGGTGAACCATCTAGTCACTTGTCACTGACTTGACTATATAGGTATGTCACAGTGGTGAACCATCTAGTCACTTGTTACTGACTTGACTAGAGGTTGTCACAGTGTTGAACCATCTAGTCACTTGTTACTGACTTGACTAGAGGTTGTCACAGTGGTGAACTATCTAGTCACTTGTTACTGACTGGACTAGAGGTATATCACAGTAGTGAACCATCTAGTCACTTGTTACTGGTTCTACTAGAGGTATGGCACAGTGGTGAACCATCTTGTCACTTGTTACTGACTCGACTAGAGGTATGTCACAGTGGTGAACCATCTAGTCACTTGTTACTGGTTCTACTAGAGGTATGTCACAGTGGTGAACCATATAGTCACTTGTTACTGACTGGACTAGAGGTATGTCACAGTGGTGAACCATTTAGTCACTTGTTACTGGTTCTACTAGAGGTATGTCACAGTGGTGAACCATCTAGCCACTTGTTACTGACTGGACTAGAGGTATGTCACAGTGGTGAACCATTTAGTCACTTGTTACCGACTTGACAAGAAGGAATTTCCATTTAGCATGATCAATCAGTTCAACAATGATTAGTAACTGTGTCAGTATAGGGATTCTTGTGAAACTTAAGGAAATGATTTCTTTTATAAACAACTTGACAGTAAAGGTTTGAATAAGACCTTAGCAGTGACTGTATTAGTAATTTGTGTTGTGATTCTGTATCACACATTGCTATTGTAAACAAACTCAATAAAGTACAATTATGATTGTTTGTCAACAATGCTTGTTATAAAACCTCAACACCATTTGTTAAAACATACATAATCACATATTTGCCAACTCTCCCTATTTTCGACACTAAAATTGTGCATTTTCAACCAGTGAATTTGCTAAACTATTCCTCGTTCCTAAAACCTAATGATTTGATCTGAAAGAACAGCACAACAGATGTCATTTAAAAGCATTAGTTTCCCCCTAGGGTGTACATACACACATTTTGTCATACTATTGAGTATACGTAATCTACCCTAGAAATTTCAAAAAGTTGGCAGGTATGTTCTTATGCTAACATTTTCATAGAGTGGTACATTGCTTTGTTAACAAAAATGTAGTCATTTCACATCACTGTTGTCGGAACGTCAAAATTTTGAACAGCACAGACCAAATCGCAGTCAACAGACAAAATAGTGTTAATACAGACAAACAAAACATCCTGGACTTCCTGTACATACATCTAAGGGAGGATCCATGTTAAACGTAATTATATAATGTATCATTGTAGACCCAAAACACGTTATTTACACTAGGGGCCTGTTCGTTTTTGGCGGAACAACCTGTACGTTCGTTTTTAAAAGTAACATTTTCGGGTAAAAATCCCGGCGGACCTGCAAAAGTTTATGCAGGCCTTGCAAGGCTTGGTAAAGGCTTGCCTAAAAGCACCATCAGGTTACTGAGTCCGACCTTATTTCATAAACGAGCAACTCTGGTCCAACCGATTAACGAAAACAGCCTAGGGCATCTGCACCAGCTTGAAATTCAACATATTTTATTGACAACACTTTGTGGACAAGGGATCTAGCTCAAGTTATTACAACTCATGATAGTGTTCTTCTGTCCTGACAAGGCGGACAAGTGCACGATGTAACAATGGAGTGGAATGACTCAACTCATAATGACTATCATTTCAATTTCCTGGTTGCGTTTATTTCTAAGTGACTGACGATTGTGTGACACAATGAGGTTCTCCTACATAGTCTACTTCCCTGTACCTCCGAAACAACAACGACTTGAAATGATATAGGTCAGCAAGGACACACTAATATTTGATATTATTTTAACGTACTTTACTGGTGACTTTGCATTGAAAGAAAGTTGTTCACTACAGCCTTTTCTACCAATTTTATAACTATAGAATACACACATTCTTCTGGCAATACAAGTACTACAATAAACTTATTAACCAGACCTTTTGTTTCCTTAATTTACGCAAAATGTATAGTAACAAATAGAAATAAAACATATTTTTCTTCACCTTTCTTAAATTACATAACAGTGTTAAAATATTTTATTTTATAGATCAAAATTGTCAATAAAGAGGTAAATGTACTAGAAGTGGTTAAAATGTCATGTTTTAGTTTATAAAGATTGAATGGCATTTTTTTTTTCTTTTAAATTTGAGGCTGGTGTGAATGCAAATCGGTCACATACATATTCCATGGAGCCTGCTATGCTTCATGGTAAATATGTACATACCAACATGAACATTGAAAAAATGTCCTTCAATCCTTATATTTACATAGAAAAGTTCAGGTATTATTGACCTTAATAGAGATACAATACTTGTATTTCCTTATAGTTTCCATACTCAAATGTTGGTGTTGTCAGCGCAAAAAGGTTCCTCACCTGGAGCAGCCTAGCATCACCAAAATGTTTGCTTCTAATGGTTGTCTGATCATGGTATTTGAAGTGGGAGGAGAAGCTTTAAAATAACACTGATTACATTGCATTCATAGCTTTATTAATGCAATTTCTTCTAGTATAGGAACTTGCAGTGGAAATGTAAACATATATATATATACACATGTAAACAGTATGAGTAACATCTGTGTATTTTGTATGATTTCTGATGACATGACTGCAAGTGTGAAGACAGATACATGATTTGGATAATTTCCTAACAATATCAATGAGTTATAAAGAAAACTGCTTGAGCAAATTGATTTTGTAGAAAGGCACATAAACCGCACAAAAATCTATTGAATATACACCCAACAGGGCACTGTTGTCCCCATTTGGGTGAGTTTGTAAGACAGCCATGAAAACTTCAAACATCAAGGACAATTCATGTACTGATTGTAACTCAGGGTTCTTGTGAGTACATTTAAAAAGACACAGGTGTAAAAACCTTATGCAAGATATCCTGTCAACAGCAGTATATCCTCCATGACATGTTCTTAACTCATTCACCCCTGAAGTTTCATAATGAACCTTTCCAACCTTTGAATTGGAAGAGTTCAAAGGTGTCTTCAGTGGTGAATGAATTGATTATGTAATTAATGCTTAAATGAAATTAAAGCTTGTGGGATTTTACATATTCACTGCAATTGTATAGTTAACATATAGCACAACTCACGCTGCAAAACTTACATCTAACAAATTCACCAAGTTTACAGATCTTGTTTGGAAAACAGGAGAACATTAAAATTTTATGATTCTTCGGTGTCATCACATGGAACTTATACATGTACATTTAATTAACCTATTGAATAATTTGTGTCCAGACCCTGTGGTTACAGTACAAATGGTCAGAGACATGCAGCTGTTCTCCTGCAAAAGCCAAATATCTTGTTCCAGTGATAAATGATTCAAATTTCACGTTTGTCAACTATTCAGATGAACTTTGGGAAGACCTGATGCCATAAATAATATGTACCCTTTTCAATGCCTAAACTTTTACATTTTCACTATCACACGACTTCAGCAAGCTACATTTGTTCCTTGCATAAAAACCTTGCAGTGGCCGCATTGTCCCCATCCTCGATATCCAGGAGTTACGCTTACTTTCGCTCTCTACACCCCTGGAATATGTCATGGCAAAATTGAAGGCACGAAGATAGCTGTTTGATTGGTCTCGGTTAAAAAAAAACCTGACCAATCGCTAGGCTGATACCTGTCCTTCGAAGATTACAAAGGAGAGACGCCCGACTTCAAAGCCTGTCAATTTTACCATTAGGTGACCGCAAGATTCTTTTGATGTATATCAAAGGATCACACTAGTCTCCTTGTCTCATCAACAAGGTGGCACACACCGAGCCTTCAATTTTGCCATGACATATTCCAGGGGTGTAGAGAGCAAACGTGAACGTAACCCCTGGATATCGAGGATGCATTGTCCCAGACATGATCAATCCAACTGATCCCGAGTTGGAGATTAATAATAACATTATGGGAAATTGAAATCTATTTAGAGACTAACCCTAAATTCACCCCTATGTAACTTTAGTAGACTCTATCATGCATTGATCTGGATGAGTCCATTATGGTCTACAGTGGTGAAAGGGTTAAGGCAGATTCAAAGTGTTTAGAGCGAGATAATTGGGAATGACTTTAATACAGCATAAACAACTAGTCTAGGCTAGCTAAATATATAGTGGACCAGTACTTCAACCTGTTTCTTAATCTTACACACCGACTAACATATTAAACACGTTTATAAAATATTAAATGCATTCCGTAAAATTGGTACAACATATGTAATTAACTTGTTATTAGTTAGGACTATAATGATGTTAAATGATTTTGATTTGAGGATGCATAAGGTTGAGTTAAGGCTATATGCTACATTACATATTATATAGATATTGCGATTTCAGTTAAGGAAATATAATACTACCCTTCAGGTTACACCTGTCATAAGTGATAGAGTTATCTCCCTTAAGGATAAAAAAAGGCTTCCTTAAACAATACACCTGTTATTTGTGTTACAGTTAAAGAAGTATGGTACTTGACATTTGATTCGATTTTTATAGAGTTCTCTCCCTTCAGGATGTATATGCTACTACACACATATTACCTGTGATTTGTATTCAAGATGTAAGTTTTATGTTGTTACACGCAGACTGTTTTGCTTAAAAAAATAGCAGTTAGATCTTAGGTAGATACAGTGAAGCCTTTCTAAAAAAAACATTCTGCAGATCCCAAAGGTTCACTTCGATTTCCATTACAATATTGATAACCCAAGCGAAAGGTATTTAATACACAGGTTTCCAGATTTCAACATTGTGTTAATTTTAGGTATGTTTTGAGAGTACCTCAAAAACTAAGGACTGATATTGTGGATTACGGAAACTGTGATGTCCTTTTCAGGGGATATCCAATTTGTATGTCCATCACACAAGGCACAGGTCAAAAGGTTATTTGTATCCTTCTGTACATGTAGAACTCTTTTAAGTCATGAAGAAGCATGATGTAGTTGAAATACTGTCTAAAATCTTCATAGTCTCTACAGAACTATAAACTATCCTGGAGAGTCCCAGTTTAGCATCATCTAGGGTCAGCATCCTCCGGCAACTGTAGAAATTTCTTCTTAACGGCAGTTTTGACACAGCTGTCAATCAACCGAGGGGCGGGGAGAGTGTCCTGTAGTTTCTTACATCCAGAGGTCGTGGGGTCAAACATGATCATGTCGTCACAGAGAGTACTAGTGTCAATCTCTCCTCCCAGCACCAATACATTGCCCTGGTAATTTATCACACCGAAGTGGATTCGCTGGAATGCTGTAAGCTGACCTACCATACGGCACGTTCCTCGGGTGCTGTCCTGGGAATGACGGGAAAACTCCATCACCTGTCCGTCAAAGAAAATCAGAAACACCCTCTTCCCGCATATCACAGCACGAGTGAGTTTACAAGGATGGAGAATCTTGCATAACATCTTGGATGTGTTTTTCAGGCGGGTGTCGTAACACTGTATCACTGACGTGTCCTTACGGTCGTTCATTTCACCGCCGAACATGTAAATCACGTCGGACATCACAGCAGCTGAGAATGAGCTAACAGGAACAATCAAATCTGCGACATGTTCCCAAGTATCCTCACGTATGTCATAACGCTCGATACTGGAAATCATCCGTGAGCCATCGGCCAGTTTGTTGTCGTAACCACCCATGACGTAAAGATATCCAGTGACAGCTACCATTGCATGACGCCGCCGGCCATTCCTCATCGTACTGTGCTGAGTCCACTTGTTCTTGTTGTAGTCGTACTTGAGGAGACAGTTCTGCATGGAGCCACCCCCAGTGATGTATATATCAGATTTGTAAGTACATGTGGCAAACTCAATACCCGGGTCAAATGGTAGAGGGGCAATTTCAAACCACACCCTCTTTCTGAAGTTGTAGCATGGCACTTTGAGGGAGCGAGAGTATGGGGGAGACGTAGTCAAACAACCCCCCAGCAACACCAGGACTTCCTCCGAGTCTGCCGTGCTGCGGAATCGCGTCTGGTTGCTGTACATCTCTTGTTGCCGTGCTGGGAGGAGGTGGTACTTTTTGGCGAAGTCTGTACATTTGGCACAGTCGGGGTCATCCTTCAGAAACTTGTACGCTTCCTCCAGGTTTACCAGGTATTCTGGCTTGAGGAACGGCAATCGTATATTATCAAAAAGTATTCCGACGTCTTTCGCACGAACGTCCTTGTCACGTTTTATCCATTTTAACACAATGTCACACAGTTTGTCTTCACTTTCCACATTCAAATCGTCCTCTTTGATGATCAAGGCAAGCTCCTTGGCTTCTAGCTCGTTGAACTCCTCTGTTTTACACACCTCCTGGAAATTTCTCACCATCATTTGAAAAGATTTCTCGAGGAGAACCTCACAAGAATGTAGCACAGAGATTTTCCAGATTTTGATACAGTTTTCTTTTGTTAGATGTGGAAGCAGGAACTCCTCACAAATTCGTTGTAGCGACTTTATTTGTAGTATTGACGCTATGTCTAGGATATCCATGGCGTTTTCTGTCACCAGATTAATCTTGCCAGAGTACATGTACCCCAGAACCATTTCAAATTGGTCCTCATTCATGTCTGGGAATTTTATCTCTCCACTGATGCTTTCTTTCATTCCGGAGTTGAACATGGCCTCGAAGTAGGAGGACAACGCTACAAGAATGATGCGATGACACTGGAATGTCTTTGTTCCGACGAGGATTGTGACGTCGTTGTGTTCCCCTGTGGTTAGAAGAAGTTGGAGGCCCTCCGTCAAGGACCGTGTGTAGATCTGTTCCATGGGGACCTTTGGTTCTGGAGGTGCAGGTTTCTTTTTCACCGGGCCGACCACATTCTACAACACGGGCAAGAAAAAGTAGTGTTAATTAATTACAAGCAACACACACATAGTCTGGAATCAGTTGTCTTTCTCACCCCTCCTCCTTCCAGCCTCCCAGATAATCTGTATATTGGATCACCAATCTAGTAAAGTTTGTTAAAATTAAATACTTTAACTATTAGATACAAGATATTGTATATACTTTAACTATTAGATACAGGATATTGTATATACTTTAACTATTAGATGCAAGATATTGTATATACTTTAACTACTAGATACAAGATATTGTATATACTTTAACTATTAGATACAAGATATTGTATATCCTTTAACTATTAGATACAAGATATTGAATATACTTTAACTATTAGATACAAGATATTTTATATACTTTAACTATTAGATACAAGATATTGTATATGTTCTGTATCGGTACCTTTTTTACCTTAATTTTTACAACAGCCTCTTCCTACATGAAAATATAGAAAATTGTTTTTCATTGAAATTGGGAAGATGTTTCTCATTTTTCTTCATTTAGGGAAAGAAGCTCCGTTTGCTTAGGGAATTAAAAGCCCCATGTGTTCAGCTGTAAAACTAGGCAAAACATACAACTTTTGTGCTTTTAGTTAATTTTCATAATTAAGAAATAATCAAAATATCTATTTTCATAATCTATTTACATATACTATTTTGATATAACTTCATTAATACACCTTAAACTACAATCACAAATTTTACAATTGTGTTGCAAAATGGTCAATATATGTATGTTCTGAGCTCAATAATGCCAACCAAAAATGCAAAAAAACAATTGAGTTGCAGCAACTTTGATGAGTCAGTCAGAGAGGGGAAACAAACAATGTTTGATTTTAGGCCCAAGCTTTACATTTGGTCTGTGATATTGTAGTACCGTTATGTAATTTATTGTGAACTGTTATTTGTTAACAACCTGTAAGTGAGCCTTAATTTCAATGGCCTACTGGATTGAAATAAATAAATAATTAAATAAAAAGCTATTTTTGAGAAGTTACAGTCATATTTGTGTAACATTTTAGTCACACTAATACACACACACACAGTGTACTGATGTTGATCATGGGCTATCAGTGTGTGTAAATATGTAAACAAGGAAGTAGGTCATGACTTTTCATAGACCACAAACATGTACAATCTGTTCCACATGCAAACATGGCAAATGTAATCTACTTTATTTAAATTCCAGCACTGCAACATCATAAATATGTCTCAAATGAAGTTTAGCTGACTTTATTTTTGTTCATCTCATACAAAGTCATTTTGTTCACCTTAATGAATTGAAGTGCATGTACAGCATTATTATATTGACAGATGGAGGAAGGAGGGTGGGTGGGGGGAATATGATTTAAAGTTGAAGGGACCTGACCTGAACCCATTTTCCCCTCACCCCTGTTTGGGTGGCAGAATAATTCTGAAGCGGGGGCCATGATATCAGTACAAATGCATCTCATACTTGCAAACTTTTTGAAATTTCCATGGGGGAGATCACGTGTAAGCATTAATAAAATGTGAGTGTGTACACCCTGGGGAAAATAGGTCTTAATGACTATTCTTTTAGATGAAATCATCAGATCCTTAAAACTAGAAATAGTTTAGCAAATTTACTGGTCAAAAATGTTCAATTTTAGGGTCCAAAATCGGGGGTGTCAATCTGCCTCTAAAATAGGTCGAGTTGGCAAGTATGGCAGCATATTATAGAATTACGGCGTTTTATTTTGTAGTTTTTAAGTTCACAACCAGGAACACATGAACTGTAAATGTTATTTCAATATAATCTCAGAAAATGAAATTTACTTCCTTCTATCCTTGCTTGTCAATTGTTCAGTATACCAGTATAGTCACCTAATTAAATACCTGACATTACAAGGGGTGTTTTGGGAAGCTGCAACATGTTTGTGTTTACATTACAAATTAAATTTCTGCACTGCTGAATATACTTCAATTGTTGAGTATACCATTAACCCTTTCACCCCTAGGTAACTTTAGTAGACTCTACCATACATTCATCTGGATGAGTCAATAAGGGTTTACAGTGGTGAAAGGGTTAGTCACCTAATTAAATACCTTACATTACAAATTGAATTTCTGCACTGCTGGGTATACTTCGATCGCCATTACTATCAACATAGTTTGGTTTAGTGTTGTTTAACGTCCTATCATCAGCAATGGTTATTTAAGGATGGCCTCCCATGTGTGCAAGTTGCATGCGTGTAGTGTATTCGTGTGTGTTTTGGGAGGCTGCGATATGTTTGTGTTAAATTGTCTCCTTGTGATAGCCAGAACTGATGCCGACTTTAACATAGCCTTATTATAATTACCACCCAAGTGACACAAATAGAAAATATCAATGTTTAGGTTTTTACAATTTAAAGCAAATACAGGCATTCAACAAAAATTAAACTTCCTGTTAAAGCATAAAAACATGTATTAACAAAACATATCATGCGACGCTATTCGCCAATAATATTACAGGTAATAGTAGGACTGACATTTAATACTGTGTTGTACATTTAAAATGGTGGATACACTCACCAACTGATATGGTATTGGAAATCTATTGACATATCAGGGATATACATATAGGATCTTACATGGGTTTCCATCTCATTTGAGATTTATGAAACGAGTCTAAGAATTTTTCAATTTAGCGAGCCACTGGCGAGCTAAAATGAAATTTTTGTGACAAGTTTCATAAGTTTCATATGAAATGAAAACAAGAGTAAGATTTTTTTTTTATCACATAATCAAAATTTGTGGCATTTATTCGTGGAAAACGACCATTTTCATGCAACCTTGAAATGTAAAAAGCCGCCATTTTGACTTCAGTGCGTATAAGTCTGTGACATCATACACTTGTCTTAAGCGTGACGTCACAATTGAAACTACCAACCAATCACAGGGCTGATAGGTCATATTACAGGGGTTAATATGCAAAAAAAATATGACATGAGTATATTCACTGGATAACACAGTACATTATGTGATAAATGTATATATATTTGCCGTCAAAATACCAATGAGATTTAGAATTCCAAACTCCCTCCTCCCCTATCCCCATATTTTTCTTACTTTGATAAGCAAATTATACCAAAACCTACAATCTATGAAAAAGATAAATTAATGATATTCATCATTTTGGTGCTTTATTTCTAATCATGATTGGTACGTGTACATATATACTCATCTCTTTAAAACGAAGATTTAAATAGCAGAAGCTGTTAATGTCTTTCAAAAGTGGCGAACTAATATGATCTTTTGTTCCATCAGAGATGAGATAGGGGTTTCTCTTACCCTGGACAGGTGTATCCACACTTTTCCTGGTGTGAAATATCCTTGTCTCATCCTATCTTCAAATTGTTGAAGTTGGTCAGTACCATTTAGAAGTAGAAGTAGGGTTGAGACAGGGGGGATTCCCCTATTCATAACAATTGTATGACGTCACGTCAACAATACAATGACGTCACGTCAACAATCCATCAACTTCATGTCAACCCTGCTAACATGACATATGTATATGATACAAAATGGGTGAACAGAGTAAGAGAAAAAGAATCATTCACCCCCTTGGAGTTGAGAGATTCTTAAATAATCTCATCTCAAGGGAAATATTCTTAAGTTGCCAAGCACAAGGCTAATAATACCTGAGTGTTTGGAAACTTAGAGTCTTTCCCAGAGAATTGAGATTCTCCAAAATCACCCCATGATTATAGGGAATGATTATTTTTCTGACCCTTTTGACCTGTCATATACCAATATTGACCACAAGTTAATGCATTGTTGGAGTGATGCCAACGAAGTGTTACATTTTGTGTATGATAGGGGAATCCCCCCACTACATTCGCCCTAAGTGACACTAACTTAAAAATCTCAACCTCAAGAGGTAAGATATCATTATACTTAATGTCTAGCACAATGCTGTGCCGAGGGCCAGACATTTAACAAGCATCTTATCCCAAGGGTGGAGATTTTCAGTTTTCAGTCTTATTCCTAAAGCGGGAAGGATCAATTTATTTTTTCTCCAATCTCAAATACAAGTGATGGTGGCATGAAACACAAACATTCACAGAGTGTGTAGATTCACCAGCCACATGATTAACTCATTCACCCCTGAAATTTCATAATGAACTATTCCAAGCTTTGAATTGGAAGAGTTCATGTATCTTCAGGTGTGAATGAGTTAAGCTTGTATGATGACATGACATTGTACACTTGTTTTGAATAGGAAATCTCCTTGTCATAATTAGGTTAAGTTTAAGCAGAAATATATCTTTCCNGGGGGGGGGGGGGGGGGGGGGGGGGGGGGGGGGGGGGGGCATTTGGTAAAACCAATAATTTGTAGGCCTGCCCCGGTGGGAGATAAATAATCATTTTTAAATTGATTAATACATCTTTAGAGGTGAGACAAGAGCTAATGAGTATAGCCATGGGTTGATGGCATGGCAGTGAGGATGGGCTTATCTCTATCCCTCAGTGCATGATCCATCGATACATATTTTCCAAATTTTCGGACAAAACAGTCACGTAATTTGGCGGTCACATGGTATTATATTATAAGGGGACATTTGAACTTCCAGTGTAAAAGTAGAACAAAAGCAAACTAACTTCATTGCAGTAACACATTTAAAAAATTAAATTTGGACAAAAATGGATGAAATTTCACCTGTATATCATTTTTTTGCAACTGTCAGATTTTGAGGTGTATACTGCAGGGGGGGACCCAGGAATTAATTCTGGCTGTTGCCCAAAATTTTAAACTCAATTTTTCCATTGTCAAACGGATCGAGTGAGGCGTAGAATATTTTCCCAGTTTGCGGTATTATTCCAGGTTAAATTTTATAACATAGAGTATTCATATTTTATGATGGCCGAGCGGAGCGAGTGTTAACAAATTCCATAAAAAAATGTAAAAATGTAGGTTTTTGGTTAAAATGTTGGTGCTAATTGTGTTATGCCCGTCATGTAGTTTAGGCACAGACTTAGATAACATCTAATCTAATTCTGAGTTTACGCGAGCATTTTGGGAATTAAATATTGATTAATTTGTGATAAATATGAATTATGATTTAATTGTTTGTCTTTTATTGTAAATTTGTATGCATACATATGTACAAGGGCAACACCTAATGAAAAGGTTATACATGCCAGGGTTTTATGCTACCATTGGTTATTATTTACCTGATAAAGTGATGCTAAGGAGTGGTGGTTCATTGTCTTTGAAATTTTTGAAATTTATATTTTTTAACTAGTATAAAAAATCACTCCTAGTGATCATGTGTACATGAAACCACAGGTGAAAATACACGTGTATCTATCATGAAATGGACTCTACCTTTGAAATAACACTTTACCTATATACCTAATTCCAATAGATGGTATAGTCCTCTCCCAACTGATAGTGTGATCACCACACCGTGACATTAGAACAATAAGATTATATATATATATATTATATAATTACCTCCATTAGGAATCAGTGTTATATGGGATTTTACCGGTCTATATTACTTCTTTGACCCATATATTATATAATTAGGTAGAGTCAGTCTGGTGACCCTTGAATGACCACTGTCACCTGACTGGAGACCCTACTACATGTAATATATAGACAAAAGAGGATTACACCCCTATTGTTTAGAGTATAAGTAGTGGACTCCTTGTTTGGGCAACACCCTGAGGCATATATAGATATTCAAACTGCTGGCAAGGGGAAGCCATAGAAAATCATAGTTCAAGGGATGGTTGCATGATATTAGAAGGAAATCCCATATGAAATAGAGGAAAATCTTCAAAAACTTGGTCCAGATTATTTTTGGACACAGAAAAAAGGGTGTTGCCCGGGCAACTAGGGCAACACCCCTGGGTCCGCCCTTGTACTGGAAGTACCGACATGTCCAATATCATGTGACCTCTGGACAGAAAAAAAATGGAAAACAATGTATTTTCAAATCTTTTTGAGCAAGCCTCTTAGCTTGACATTTTACAATCTTTTATTTTTACCGTGTTGGTTGAAATGTAATTGACCTGAATTATTTACACTCAGTGTTTGGCAAACCCTGTAATTAAAGTTTTGGCTTCAATGTTATTATTGTTTTATACAGTTGTACATTGTACATAGCTAACAGATTTATAGAAGACTGATCATAGGTGGTGGGCACGTCTATCAAAGAAAGAAAAAAATGAAATATATAAAACTAGAGAAGTACATGTTATAAATTCTAGTACCAAAGTATAATTTTCCTTCATTTAAAAACAAAGTTGTTTTTCATCTAGTTTTATATATTTCATTTTTTTTTTTTTTTGATAGACGTGCCCACCACCTATGGACTGATGATATAGGCATTAAGCCTGTTGTCTAATTCTTAGGTCAATACTGTTCTAACATCTTCTTTAATTTTAGTTTATATGTTTGTATTATTTATGTATTGTAAATAAAATACTTTTGAAAATAAAATAACACATGGTCCTAGAAAGAAAAAAAATGTAAAATATTACTGCAGTCTAAAGTAGTTCTGTAAAATTGTAGACTAGCAGTAATACCAATATTATACATGTATGTAAAGTATGATCTTTGACAAGCTTGCATACATGTGTACACCTTGACACATATCTGTACTATATACAGGTAAGGCCCTAGGGGCCACCAGCACTGATGACAGTCGTCCTATAGCCGTGAGCCAGGTAAATCTTTACGAAAAACGGATGATTAATTTCGGGGTAGGAATCTCCCTGCTCACCGTCAATTGATATATCAGGTACACTAGACGAAATTTTGTTCTTTGATAGCTCATACAGTTTTAAACAATAAACATTGACAAAATTGTGTCGATATTTTGCAAACTTTTACCTTACAACGGTCACATGTAAGCTGTTGACACTCGGTGTGTAATTTGACAACAGGGACTAGTTTTTCACTACACACCGCTAATTCACAAATTACGATGACCCTTCATGATCACTATACTCTACTAACCTTAATTAAAGTGATATTTAGTTGTAAAGTATTTCTTACCCCTGAAGCGGTCATCGACTGACCACCCTGGACAATGCTGCTGTCCCCCATTTTGACTTTCGTCAAGAACCAACCATTCTCAGTCCCAAGCACCTACTTCCTCGTCACTGGTAACGACCCTTAATAATTCGGTCGTTATCTGTCAACCTTCAGGCTCGCTAGCACGCATTTGGCTCAGTCTATACGCATTGGGTAGTAGGCCAAATATGAATCAGAATTCGTGTGGTTTTATTATTTGTTCTCTCTTAATTTTATGAAGGGCTTAGTTATCGGATACCCCTTTTAAAGCATATACTTGAGTTTATCGCGTAATAGATTATGTTACGGTATCTATACCCAACATGCTTGATTCAGACAGAGACGTAACATATATATATATTACGTCTTTGATAAAGCAAATTGTATAATACTTTTCAATTTTTATTTCTAAATGTAAAGACTACTGATCAGTTATAACATGAAAATCTGCAATCCGTAACAATAGCAATAATAAAATAAACAGAGGTCGATCTCTACCTCTCCAAAACATGCTAGCTAAGTCTTATTTACTTGAAAAAAAATATCGGAGTCCTATATATATATAAATTAAGGCTGTGTCATGATTGTAGAAAAGTTTAAGGGGTTGGGATTGGGGATTGTATTCCTATTACTTTTCCACATTGGGCTCAAACTTTCACAAAATCTCGTAAACACTATAAACTATCACGATCTCCCTCCGTTCACAGAATCGTTTACAGTTTCATCGCTTTATACCCGTTCACGATTCTTCTGTCACCCCTAGGGTTTGGTTCTCTGTCACCCTAGGGTATGACTTCTTTCTCACCCCATAGGATAGAATATCTCTGCCACACCATAGAGTATGATAGATCAATAGAATATACCCAGAATATACCCTACCTTTCTATTAATCTATCATACTCTAGGGTGTGACAGAGATAATCTAGTCATGACGTCAAAGAAGAAATATCATGACGTCACTAGAACAATAAGATATGACGTCACAATCAGGCAAATCTCGACGGGAAAAGTCCTATTTGCAAATCAGGATAAAATCAAATACATTTTTTGTCAAAACTATTATTTTTTAATAAGTGTTGGAATGATGGGAAACAGAATCACTCCCTACGTAGCTTGGGGATGTGACAATGAAATCCCCGACCCGAGGGGTGATTATTAATAGAATCATTCACCCCCTTTGGGTTGAGATTCCCCTATCTTACCCACAAGGGGGTGAATGATTCTTTTTCTCTTACATGTCCCCTGTTTTCCCCAATGTGTATCCTATACACAATGTAATGATAACGTTACATGCTAAATTCAGGGTTGACGTGACGTTGATGGATTGTTGACGTGACGCCATTGTATTGTTGCAGTGACGTCATACCATTGGTATAAATAGGGAAATCCCCCCGTCTCAACCCTAGGGCGGAAACAGATAAATCTAGCACCGGCAAAACGGGAGATAAATCTGTCAGGTGTGGCAGAATTGGTTGTCTAGCACTAACTAAAATAACCATTCCTGGGGTTGGACATGTATCTTTCACATCCTCGAGGTAGGGAGTGATTCTATTAATCAGAGAACAAGAAAAAGGTAAAAAAAAAGAAGCAAAGATAGTTCATAAATACATTTCTTTTAATCAGGTTTTTTTGTGTGTAATTTTATGGATACCTAATAGTTTATGTACCACGCACTTATATACAATGTAATTAGATCTTATCTAATTCCATGTCAACATCTTTATGTTTACTTGTTTATGGTGCAAAACCAGTGCTGACAAATCACAGGGACCTGATAATTTGTTCCATATATATTTGTACATAAACTAAGGTATTTTATTGAATTATTAGTGCTTGGGTCTTCTGCATTACGTTTTATAGTAATGACTGTGTGGAATTCAAAAGTCCTTCAGCCACTATGTGAAAAAGAAATACTTATCAAAAAGAAATAAATCAAGAAATCATTATTTCATAAAATGACTGAATTCATTCTAAATCGCTGCATGATCCTTGGATATAGACAACTCTCATCAGGAGATAATAATGGAGTTATAACAACACATTGTCAACCCTTGTCATAATGTGACTGGGGCAGATACATCATGCTAGATTAAGAATGGAGTGTAATCCCTTACGTTTTATCTATACCAGAGCTAATTGATAGTCCTCTGTGTTCTTGCATGCAAGCACATGAAACCAATGAACATTATCTATTACATTGTTGTCTTTTTTCTCAACTACGGTTACATACATTTAACGAANCCCCCGCCCTCTTCTTTTACTCTCATTTCAAATATCCCTTGAACTACGTTTAAAAGTAAGCTACTGTTTTAAGTGTTTATATTTCTTTCCATAGAATTCAGTAACTATGCCATCATGCCCTAAATTAATGAGATAAATTCTCGGAAACGGATTTATATAAGTTATTTCAACTTGTTTCCAGATCCCATTCCTCTGTACTCTGTATGTTATGTGATGTAATGCAACTTAATTCGGAATGAAATAAAGTTTATATTAATGTGGCCGGGTAAGATGTCTGTGCCGGGTGCCTTCTTTATGGTTATTTCAATGAGGTAGCACTTTAACGTCGGCATCAGATCACTATCGCAAGGCGGCAAAAACACTACTTAACATACGGAGGCACGTGCTAGTAAATTTAGCTGTTCATAGAACCCTAGACGCAATAAACAAAACCAACTATCACACGACTTGTATCCTAAAAATATTACAGATTCAATACTAATTACCCGTTTAGTCTGTACTAATTGTCCTGATTGCAGGTTCTTGTAGTGTACCGTCCCCATCGTCGTTTCTGCACATGCCATAGATATGTCATCAACTCGGCCTGGATCCGACAGATTAGTCACGGGACTAGTTTCCATACACACAGGATTTCATCCCTATGTCCCGACTGTAGCATTCCAGAATGAACTCGGTGATAGGGATCACGTGATATTCAATATTAATTTACGTATACTATGATGATTAATCTGAGTGAATCCGGTTATCTTACAATTTCCACATAAATATTGTAATAAATGGTTAATACCCGGATGTGGCAAAGGTCAGTCAAACGTATATATATATACACTTGTATCTACACGACAATCTGAAAAAGTCGAAATGTTTGATTATTTGCCTGTTTGTTTTTGTGAGTTTCAGATAATTTGTTACAGCTATATTTGGACCTAAACTAAGGTGCTCAGAGTAATTTTGCACGTATTAGGGGTTCACAAAAACTTCCGATAAGAATGCAACCCCAATGATAATATCATACTCAGAACATCTAAGTTTAGGTCCAAATATAGCTGTAACAAATTCTCAGGTCCCTGTGCTTCAGACGTACTTAGGCCTCTTCCTTGTTTGTCAATATTTCCTGAACGGAACCACCACTTATCATGGCTAGGCCGTCAATCTCTCCAGAGTCGTCACATGGGCGTATGAAGCACAGGGACTTGATAATTCACATGATATCGCTTCTAGTTATGCGAACTTTACGATCAAAAGTGTAACACACCGCGGACAGCTTCAAATGATAATACATAAAAGCCAAGCCAAGCACTCACTATCATATTGCTGTACGATAAGAATTTATTGAAATATCAATTTGGACCCGGACAGTTTCGGCCAATAGTACTGTGTCAAGTTCGGTCTATGTAACACATAAAAAGTCGTAAAATTGGCGGTAAAATCTTACGTTGCATGCTTAATAACGTCATAATTAAGCTGATTCCAATGGGGCCGAACTTACCAGAATGTCTGTCCGAACTTATCCCATGGTGGGTCTCGTTCGGCCATCCGATCATCCGACAGGGAAACTTAAATAATGTTCAAAAACGGACGTGCTGCCATACTTCCCAAAACGGACTTTAAAAAAGGGCCGAATTTGCCCCGACCTCTCCTAATGTTATGTCGGTCTTAATCTCATTAGAGTTTATGTTTTATTGTTATCCCTCGACTAGCCGACTTTAAATAAATTTTATCTTACCTCTGAATCAGTAAATGTCAGAGATCAACAAAAGCTTCGCTCTTTTAACATGGCTAGGATGTCACTCTCTCCAGAGTCATCACAGGGGAGTGATATTTTAATACTTAACATGGCTAGGATGTCACTGTCTCCAGAGTCGTCACAGGGGAGTGATATTTTAGAACTAAGCATGGCTATAGGACGTCTTTCTATTTAGAGAAAACAAGCCGTCACGGAGTAGCGACATTTAAGTACTAGATTTAAGTCAAAATTAGGCCACATCAAATCTCTCCATACCTCCCCACTCCCACTACGTCCCCGGAATTGTACATTGGATAAGCTAACGTTACCTCCTCGATATTAAATAAAATAAAGAGAATAAAACTAAACTTTAATCTGAACTAAACATCCTTTGCTAACAATATTACCCTTTCTCGCATATATAAATCTCATTTTTCAAGCACCCGAAATATTGTAACCAAAACAACAATAATAACAACAAAGGGAATACACGACAATACCAAACAGGACCAAGCGTACGTGATAGGAAACTACCGATTAGGGGTTTAACTCATTATTTCCGTCCGTGTGCAGCTAACGCGTGATTGTTCAGCTTTCCTATTTCCCCGTAATTTGGTGATACGTGTAATTCCTGTTAATGTACCTATTCACGAAAACTAGAGTTTTGTGGAGATGAATACGTGGTAAATCGATTTAATGACGTATTGGCCACAGGGACCTGCGAATTCGTTACATCTATAGTTGGACGTTAACTAAAGTGTTCAGAGTAATTTCACACGTTTAAAGGGGTTTAGAGAAACTTTCGGTTTAAATGCCACCCCGAATGATAATAATATACATCATCCTTGGGAGTGGGATTTTAACCGAAAATTGATCTAAACACCTGAGCTTAGGTCCAAATATAGCTGTACCAAATTATCAGGTCCCTGTGGTCTTGGCCAATATCACTTAATTAAGCATATGTTTACCAAAACGAAAAATATGCTTTTTCGTCTTGAAACAAGATGGATTGCAAGAAAATCGCTGAGAGAAATCTGGGGCATTTGGCAGAAATCGACATTTTTGACCTGTCATCAGATTTTATAGAATAGAAAAAGTTTAGCAATTTCAGTGGTTGAACATTCTCAATTCTCAATCCGATTACCACTTTACAATGTATATAAAATGTTCATATGCAAATAGCACGAATCCTTGTTTTCATTTTTTTATTCGCCGATGAATTTTATTAAGTTCTGTCACAGTTATTTCCCTTTGAACATTTGTGATGGTTTTAATTGTTTGTCTGTGTTTTACTTCCAGTGTTTTTAAGGACGTGCCAGATTTCGTTGGTGGAGGAAAACCGGAGAGCCTGAAGACAAATCACCGACCTGTGACAAATCACCGACCTGTGACAAGTACAGTACATGGTGATTGTCCCATGTAGGCATCGAACCTGCAACCAAGTGGTGGAGAGCTAGTGATTGTAGAAGCTTTAATAGTATTAGCTGTCATAACGCGCAGGCGTCAAAGAGTCACTTATATTAGGGATATAAAAAAATATAAAAAATATCTTTGAAACATTCTGATAATGTTTATGTAACCACTTGAGCTATCTGTGGATATTCGTTGTAAGAATGGACGTTGGTTGGCTCTCCGACCCGTGTCTGTTCTATCGACAGAGACAATAAATGGTTGTACATATATATTTGTATTTGCGTTCTAGAACATAGACCATGTGTAGGAATTACCATGATGTCATCATTACGGTATAACCCGGTTAGGGTGGTGCTGCATGGTGGTGCGGGGTGGTGGTAAGGATTATATAGGAGACTGCACTCAATGACCCTGGCCCAAAAGCGGTACTTTTGTACTACTCTTTGGCATCTTTGACCTGTTTTTCCAGATGAAATCATCAGATCTTATAGAACAGGAATAGTTTAGCAAATTCAGCGGTTGAAAATTCTCAATTTAAGGGTCCAAAATCGGGAGTCTTCCTCCAAAAAAGGAAGAGTTGGCAATTATGACGTGACATCAGATATTGAAGTCTTGGTTCTGATCTGACGGAAGAATTTTACAGAACTTGAAATTACAGATACCACAAATTCCTTTCCTTTACCTGCTGTCTGGTGATAACATGGCCATCTGATTGCCACTTCATAATGTATACAAAATGTTCATACGCATATACAACGAATTAATACTCGTTTTTATTCGCCGATGAATTTTATTAAGTTCTGTCACAGTTATTTCCCTTTGAACATTCGTGATGGTTTTAATTGTTTGTCTGTGTTTTATTTCCAATATATTTAAGGACGTGCCAGATCTTGGTGGTGGAGGAAAACCGGAGAGCCCGAAGAAAAACCACCGACCTTCGACCAGTGCTGTACCTGGCGACTGCCCCATGTCGGCCTCGAACCCGCAACCCAGTGGTTGAGAGTTAATGATCGTAGACGGTCTGAAGCTTTAAGGTATTTCATACATGTCTTTGTCAGTGTATATAGTATGTGATGGGCTCATAACTTTTCATCATAATGAAAACAATATGTAAGTTGGTTGGTATACCCATGTCAAGTACAATGTCAATAATGACCTTTGCAGAAATTAATTGTCGAATATATTCTTGATTTTGTCTGAAAAGTAACTTTTGAATGCAGAATTTTAGTGGCGCAAAATTGCATTGAATATTAATATTCATGAAAACACTTACCTGTACATGCATTTCTGAAGTATCCGTGTATTGACTATTATCGAGAAAAATGTAAGAAAATACTTCAAATCTCAAGAATGATGGCATGTATTTTCATTGGAAATTTTACAATAATTCATGAAGCTAATGACTACACCTAAGGATGTGCACGCAGGTGTGTGATGGATTCGTGTATGTGTGCTGGAGGAGGTACATGTTTTTCCCCGTTAAGATAGCGCTGATCTGATGCCGACTTTAGAGTGCTTCCTCATGATCAGTAATACATATGTACCACGCTGAAGGCACTCAGCCTAGTGTTCCGTCGAGTCACACGTTTTAGTTACCCTACATGCTGAAATATCTTGTCTCACTCACGTCATCCTCCATCCTCGATATCCATGGGCTACGCTCACTTTCGCTCTCTGCACCCCTGGAATATGTCATGGCAAACATTGGTCTCGGCTGATACCTCTCCTTAGAAGATTACGAAGGAGAGACGCCCAACATCAAAGCCTGTCAATTGTTACCGTTACGTGACCGCGAGATTCGTTTGATGTATATCAAAGGATCGAACTAGTCATCTTGTCTCATCAACAAGATAGGTGGTAGCACACACTGAGCCATCAATTTTGCTTTGACATATCCCGGGGGTGTAAGTGAGCGTAACCCCTAGATATCGAGGATGTCCTCACGTAGATTAGACTGGCTACCAGTCATGGGTTTTTACTACTACATGTGCAAAGTGTGCATTGCTGATCCAGAGTTTTCAAGGTTTTATGTAAAACAATGATATATTGTAATATTTATAACTTATTATATAAGTCACATGGAAATGAGAATTTGTTACATCTAAACCTTTAAAACATGTCAAATTACTCTGAACACCTTAGTTTAGTCCAAATATAGATGTAACAAATTATCAGGTCCCTGTGATATTTAAGTGTGTTACATGAACTATAAATAAAATCACGGACTTAGACTAATCTAATTCCGTGGTAAAATATATAACATTTGTTTAAACTATTTCTTTCTGAATCATACGCGTCCGGCGCGTAGTTGTGTCACTACGGCAGTTTTTTTTTTTTAGTAAAACAGTGTACAAACCCAATCAGAATAAAATCTCCCCCTATAGTACAACAAAGATAAACGCAAGCTGTGCATTTCCTTTTTACCTGATATTGAAAAATCAATAGAACACATTATATCTGGACTACTTGTGAAAATACCTGAATTGTCAAGAGTTTGATTGTCTGTAATACTGTTATCACGGAGGTATGTGGGCTCCTGTCCAAATTATAACCGCCACAACCTGAACTCTCCGTGGTTCTAACCAACGATTTCCTAATTGTTGGTATTGCCACGGACTTAGATAACATCTAATTCCGTGGTATTGCTCACCCGTTGGAGCCCCTTAACAGCAGCTGAAGATTCTGGACACGCGTGAACGGAATCGGATGTTTTTATTTCACACGAAATCGTCCAAGTGAAACCGATCGTTACGTTACATAAGATAAAAATGCCAAGAAAAGGCAGCGCATTGGATTGACAGAATTTGAAGGTAAGGATGGACGATCAAAATTTGTTAACAGGTACGTAGAGGAGGTCTTTTTCGTCCTTTTAAAACTCGTCGGTGATGGTAGGTAGCTATAGGGACACTGTGAGGTTAGATTCATTTTGGGTAGATATAACACACAGGGACCTGAGTATTTGTTACAGCTTTGTCTCAGGTCCCTGTGATAGAACAGGCACGAGCTAGCCTCGTTTGTCAATAGCACAGGGACGTGAAAATTTGTTACAGCTATATATGGACCTAAACTAAAACGTGTAAAATTACTCTGAACACCTTGGTTTAGGTCCAAATGTAGCTATTACAAATTCTCACGTCCCTGTGCTGTAATTAAACAGACTAGCTGGTGCCTGTTATATCACAGGGACACAACGCTGTTACATATACATAGGTCCCTGTGTGATATTTTGCCTGTAGCTGTATTTTAGTCTACTTTTAAGATTACAAGTGTGAGATTGATACCAGGTGAGCGACTCAGGCCCCATTGAGCCTCTTGTTCAGTATGAGCATGATGGTTCTTGACACATTTTCACTATTAAATAAAGAACGGATGGCAGATATATCAGTAAATTTTCTACATGTACATTTCAATATTTCAAAATGGAAACTTAACAGAAAGTTGATTTACTGGAAACCTAACATTTACTAGAAAATATTTTTTTTACCAGAAACTAACTGAAGGTTTTGCAGGCAGTGGATGTTTACCTGAAAATGATGATTTGTTTTAAGTGAAACACAATAGCCTGTAGAAATACAATCCTGTTTGTATGATAACTAAAAGCTGAATGCTCTCTGATGTAAATCAACATCGTCTGGCAGGTTTTAAAAGTCTGATCAGCTTCGTGAGTCCTTAAATCAAATTATCAAAAAGCTTTTTTTTGAGAAATATCTGAAAAAAATATTTGTTTTTGTTTTTATTCTATTCTTCTGAATCCTTGTACATGTAATTTTACTGACAACTTTCAAATATGTTTGCATGAATAGATTAAAAATGTTACATTAAGCTGTGAGGTGATTAGGCTTATGTAACAAGAACAAATGAACAAAGAAAGAGGACTAATTTGCATTGTACTGTAAGGCAAAATCACTTAAAATACTTTCCACAGTGGTTTACTATACACAACAAGCATGGTCAGCTTAATTACTACCAACAGAAATATTTGTATAGTTATTATTTCACTTATTTCATTAATAATTAATTATTGCAGTTAGTTTAAATAAATCAATTACTATATACTTAAAAAAAATGTAAAAATATAATAATTTTTGGAAGGTATCTCAGGTGAGGAATTTGAGATTGATTTTTTGTTTGAGTTTGTAAGATGACAACACTTTAGGTAGGAATTAGGAGGTCTGTACAGCTGTGTACTGTAGGACTAGTATAACTATTTGTAGTAACATCTGGACAGTCTCCGCCTGCACCAGCATCACTAGGTATCCTATAGTAACATCTGGACAGTCCCCGCCTGCACCAGCATCACTAGCTATCCTATAGTAACATCTGGACAGTCTCCGCCTGCACCAGCATCACTTGGTGTCCTATAGTAACATCTGGACAGTCTCCGCCTGCACCAGCATCACTAGGTATCCTATAGTAACATCTGGACAGTCTCCGCCTGCACCAGCATCACTAGGTATCCTATAGTAACATCTGGACAGTCTCCGCCTGCACCAGCATCACTAGGTATCCTATAGTAACATCTGGACAGTCTCCGCCTGCACCAGCATCACTAGGTATCCTATAGTAACATCTGGACAGTCTCCGCCTGCACCAGCATCACTAGGTATCCTATAGTAACATCTGGACAGTCTCCGCCTGCACCAGCATCACTAGGTATCCTATAGTAACATCTGGACAGTCTCCGCCTGCACCAGCATCACTAGGTATCCTATAGTAACATCTGGACAGTCTCCGCCTGCACCAGCATCACTAGGTATCCTATAGTAACATCTGGACAGTCTCCGCCTGCACCAGCATCACTAGGTATCCTATAGTAACATCTGGACAGTCTCCGCCTGCACCAGCATCACTAGGTATCCTATAGTAACATCTGGACAGTCTCCGCCTGCACCAGCATCACTAGGTATCCTATAGTAACATCTGGACAGTCTCCGCCTGCACCAGCATCACTAGGTATCCTATAGTAACATCTGGACAGTCTCCGCCTGCACCAGCATCACTAGGTATCCTATAGTAACATCTGGACAGTCTCCGCCTGCACCAGCATCACTAGGTATCCTATAGTAACATCTGGACAGTCTCCGCCTGCACCAGCATCACTAGGTATCCTATAGTAACATCTGGACAGTCTCCGCCTGCACCAGCATCACTAGGTATCCTATAGTAACATCTGGACAGTCTCCGCCTGCACCAGCATCACTAGGTATCCTATAGTAACATCTGGACAGTCTCCGCCTGCACCAGCATCACTAGGTATCCTATAGTAACATCTGGACAGTCTCCGCCTGCACCAGCATCACTAGGTATCCTATAGTAACATCTGGACAGTCTCCGCCTGCACCAGCATCACTAGGTATCCTATAGTAACATCTGGACAGTCTCCGCCTGCACCAGCATCACTAGGTATCCTATAGTAACATCTGGACAGTCTCCGCCTGCACCAGCATCACTAGGTATCCTATAGTAACATCTGGACAGTCTCCGCCTGCACCAGCATCACTAGGTATCCTATAGTAACATCTGGACAGTCTCCGCCTGCACCAGCATCACTAGGTATCCTATAGTAACATCTGGACAGTCTCCGCCTGCACCAGCATCACTAGGTATCCTATAGTAACATCTGGACAGTCTCCGCCTGCACCAGCATCACTAGGTATCCTATAGTAACATCTGGACAGTCTCCGCCTGCACCAGCATCACTAGGTATCCTATAGTAACATCTGGACAGTCTCCGCCTGCACCAGCATCACTAGGTATCCTATAGTAACATCTGGACAGTCTCCGCCTGCACCAGCATCACTAGGTATCCTATAGTAACATCTGGACAGTCTCCGCCTGCACCAGCATCACTAGGTATCCTATAGTAACATCTGGACAGTCTCCGCCTGCACCAGCATCACTAGGTATCCTATAGTAACATCTGGACAGTCTCCGCCTGCACCAGCATCACTAGGTATCCTATAGTAACATCTGGACAGTCTCCGCCTGCACCAGCATCACTAGGTATCCTATAGTAACATCTGGACAGTCTCCGCCTGCACCAGCATCGCTAGGTATCCTATAGTAACATCTGGACAGTCTTCGCCTGCACCAGCATCACTAGCTATCATAGTAACATCTGGACAGTCTCCGCCTGCACCATAAACACTAGGTATCAACTGAAGAGCAAGGTATATATAGTAATTTATATTATCACCTTGTAGAGCAGGGTTGAGGCAATCTTCCTTTCAAAAATGTTGAATCCACTATTGATATCCCCTGAAATACAATCTGGTAATACATGGAATTACCTTAACGCTATACTTGTTGCCTTACCAATGCATGAAGAGTTCCAAACCAAATAGAAATTGAAATAATTTCTGGATGAATGGTTATCAGGACTTGGTTTATCTGTATACGTTGAAAGGAACAGTTTAATTCACAATAATTCCTCTTTTTGTACCAAATTTTTCAGGTTTGGAGTGTGATTTTTTTATTTATCACCATTATTTTTAGAGTTATGAAGTCAAATTTACAGAATCAGCATCTAACTTTTTTTGTCAGATTCATTCAAATCGTTGCAAAGTACAGGTGTATGTTAAAGTATGGGGTTAACACTGTTTGTCAGATAGGGATCACTGTAAGGCACTTTCTCCTCTGTGATCAGTTTGAAATTTAATGGCAAGTATTGTCCAGTGTAAATGACAACTCGGTCATTCTGAGTCAGTCAAGGGAGATAACTCTCATACAAAAGCGGTATGATATACAATGCATATATATATACATCCCAACTGGTGATAAAATCAAACAAGGAATGTTGAGTTCCATCAAATACTAAACCACTCACTTGATCAACTTATCAATCAGTCAAAGTCTTAAAGCGAAAAAGGATATTTAAGGCATCATTATCGGGCAATAATAAGTTTTATTGGCAGACAAAACCTGCACTAGCTGATACAAAATAAGAACTGTTAACTTGAATGATGACTAATTCACTGAACCTGCTCTTTCAGAGGTAGTATCACACTTGTTAAGAAGTGTATCATTCCACAGGGACCTGATAATTTGTTACAGCTATATCTGGACCTAAACTAAGGTGTTCAGAGTAATTGTACATGTTTCAGGGGTTTAGATCGACTCTCGGTAAAAATGCCACCCCCAGTGATTCATTCTGTATTGGTCACTGTTTTAATTAGCATGCAGATCCTGTGTTTCCATGGTAACGTAGTTTCTGCTCAATAACTTGTTATTTTGCACTGTTTTATTTGTGGAACTAATTTACCCAACCAACTGGATGATTTTTGGAGATGATAAAATCTGGTTCAGAAAAAATAAGTTCCATTTTATGATCAGAAGTCTCGTCATGCTTCTAAAATTCCTAATCCTGGGGATTACCGTAGTGCTAGTCTTGCAGTCTTAATTAGTACTTTTAAGAATGAACTTTGTGAAGTCAAATTTCCTTCCTTTTAACCTTAGACACATATAATTTAAAAGTATTTCTGACATACTCTCTCTCTCTCTCTCTCTTTCTCTTTTGTATGTTATTTGCAACATTTAGGTTTATTATTTTTATCCTACCTCAATTAAATACAGAAATGATTAATACCCATTTAAGGAACGCATTGATTATCTACCACACAATACCTGTACAAACACAGTACATCGTAACAAAGGGCGTTCTCATTGTTATATATGATATCGGTCTATAATGTGTGTCTATATATAGCTGTTTTATTGTTTCAGGTATATGAAGTGCGGCAGCTGGTATTCCACTGCGGTGATTTTTCCCAACAGGATAATACGTTTGTAGTGTGTGATCTACGGCTCGTCCGTCCACGAATCGTCTGTAGAAAACAAAATCTGACTTCCATGGATGTCTCTACAATGTACTCGGAAAGTGTTTTTTAATTTCAACTGCACTATCAGCTGATAATTAATGTAATTTGTCAACACAGCTGAATTGTGTGACAATTTAAAAACTTATGATCATAGGATTATTGTAATGATTCGCACACATCTACGTCATGGTAACAACATACATACATGAATGTGAAGTATCAAGGGGAGATAATTTAGTAGTAAATATTTGGAACTGAGCTCAAAAGTTTCAATTGTTCAACTGTTTGAACGATCAGATTTGAATGACATGTGCTGATTCTGGTAGACATTCAGACATGAAGGTGAAAATAAAGAAAGTTTCGTGGCCGCGGACTAGGGAGGAGCGCCCTCTGCGAAGCTTTAACAGTCAGGCGGTGAGGGAAAGCTACAATAGAGCGTGGAACTCTGATTCAGAGTCGGGGGACGAACTCTCCTGGGACGAAGACGCAAACTACACATGTAAGTATCATACACTTTCTTTGTCTGAGTACAAAATTACAAACGGAAGCAGATATAGACTTGAAAAATTAACTGTAGGGACGACGCTCTTATTCTAATTTGAGATGTAACAAGGCATTTGATTGGTCAATAAAAATAATTTGCGACAGTAAAACCATGATATAGTGAGGAAAGCTACTAGTAGTCCTTATGCTATTCGTGATCCTCGTTAAACAAATAAAGAATTAAATTAAAACCATGATATACCGTCTGCAAATTTCTCATTTGCAAGTGAAGCCCAAATGGCGATTGTTAATGACGTTGATGACCCCGACTGACCCTGACACATCATAAAATTGATTATTCATGACGTCACGAACAATAGTGTGACCCCGAAACGTCAATGTAATACAGCCTCACTTTGAGTATTTCTAACGTCACCAATCCACAGCAGATCTAGAGTGACCCAGAATTTGAAGAAACCACTCAAAAATATCTTATAAACATCAATTAGAATGGGGATAACCTTACAGTGTTTTGGAATTATGCGGCGGTATATCGTGATTATACTGTCGCAAATATCCGTTTTACTGGCTCCGCTCCTTGTCACCGGTATAATCATGCGACAGTATAATCATGATATATTTCAAATTTCAAAATACGGTACGGTTATCCCCTAAGTCTTGGTCAAAATCCAGGAAAATATTCATGAAACAATTCTCAAGCACAAGAATGAAGTCCAGTGTAAACATTAAAACTAGTGTTTTAAATGATGCTTCACAAATATTCTCCCATATCATTGACAAGATGTGATTAAATTATCAATCTTCTTAACCTCTAGAGGGATTTTGACCAAATTTGTTCTAGCTAGAGCATCTTTGGATGAAGGGGCCTCAATTTTGTATAAAAGGTGATCCAGACAATTACGAAATCTACATACTATATTAATAATGTACATTACAGAATAGGTAACAAGTAAATACAGAGCGTGTACAATCCAACCTTGTTACATATATCTTGCAAGTTCCTTTGATAAACTGGTATAGTCTTAAAATGAAAATAAAATACTGAGTGAGATATTGATTAGGCCCCTTGACCTCTTGTTTAAGACTCTTTTTCTGAATGCAGCATATGACTTCAATGTACATAACTTAGATTCCTTGACAAGAAACTGTAACTCAGAGTGCTTGTCCTTGCACCAAGTTTTCAAATTTTGTTGATTAAAGTTGATGAAGAAGAGAACATAATCTGTGTTTGACAATGCTAAATGTATACCAGCTGGAGGTAGCACATGGATGTCAGAAAATGTACATGTCAAATAAATTTTGACATTAAAGAAACATTAATGTCAGAGAAATGAACAGAGGTCATTTTTATGCCCCCCCCCTCCCATTTTTTATTTTATAAAATGGGGTGTGGTGGGGAGCTATAGTGTTGCCCATGTCCGTCGCGTCCCGTCCCGTCTAGTCCCGTCAAACATCAAACACTGAAACTAATTTCACATGGTGACGGGGGCATCCATGTCTTGCAGACATTTTCTAGTTTTTCAAGGCTTCTGCTGTGGGTTGAAACCAGACCTTTGATTTACTAGGCGGCCTACATTTTTCAGAATGAGCTAAATAGACTTTCTTTGCTGAGTCGGTAGGATTAGCAGCTAGTGTTTCATATCAGAGTGACATACTTCCCTTACAGGATAGAACTTGTACCAAGTTTCCGGGGGTCATAGTGATTCCTTTGCAAGTGTTGCCGAGTATTTTTGTCATAACTCTTGGGTCCCTTCATGGGCGCCAATTTAACAGAGGTCATTATTTTTCATTGCCTCCGTAAGGAGTCGAACCCGAGACCTCTTGCTTGATTAGCCTATACGCTCTACCGAATGGGCTAAAGAGAAATTCTCCCTATCCAAGTCATCAGGAAGTGCCTAGTATTTTGTACCAGGGTGACATATATTTATTAATGTTTGCAGAAAACTGAATACATGTTGGATTTATTGATTATACTCACATGTCAAAAAGGTGTATTTGTGTCAGATATATATATATATCATATGTCTGAAAATAGAGATATATTTGTTTGTCAAGCTGGGCAGAAATATGTCTATCAGATATTGCAGATGTCTGAAAAATGATATGTTTCTTATTAAATTTCCACAGGTGTTATAATTAAAATAAATATATTGATTCTTACTGATTTTTAACTAATAAATTTACATATGTGCAAAACAGTTAAAACTGTAATAAACCCATTTTTCATTAATGATTTGATATTAATTGGTATTTTCATACCATGCGATCCGCGATACTCCAAGGGAACATGCTCACTCACATTCTCTGCACACCTGGGAATGGCGAAGTCAAAGGTTTTGTATGCACCACCTCGTGGATGATTAACAAATAGACTTTAAGTTTGATTCTTTGATGAACATGAAAAAAAGCACGGTATATACTGCATTGGAAATACTGACTGACATTAAAGTAAGGTGATGCTCTTTTTTTCTAGACATTTCCTTCAGGTTCGTAAGTAACAATTATGAAAAGTTTCTTTAAACACAACCAATAAGTGTTTCTATGTGATGTTTCAATCACTAGTACCATAATTTATGTACTCTGTCACCTTTTTCTGACAAATGACCAGTAAAGCTTATGAACACAAAGGTGTAAAATGTGAACGAAATGATGCTCTTCTGTAATCTCCAAAGGTTAGGGAATCAGTCTTGCAAATTTCAGGTTTTTCACCTGAAACCAATCGAATAGCTTCAATAACCACATTTTCAAGGGGTACAGAGAACTTCAATGATCTATTTAATTTTGAGAATGATGCGTACCCCCAGTATCTGTACCAAATAAGATCTGTGTATCATGTTGATACATCTTTTTAACACTTCATTTAAACTTTAAACGTGTAGAGCCAACGTCAGGTAAATTTAAAAAGGCGTCCGGGTAGATAAGTAATGGTACTTCGCTGTGAGTAAGGATACCAAGAGGTATACCAGGGGATTAAAGAGGTATACCAGGGGATTAAAGAGGTATACCGGGGGATTAAAGAGGTATACCGGGGGATTAAAGAGGTATACTGGGGGATTAAAGAGGTATACCAGGGGATTAAAGAGGTATACCGGGGGATTAAAGAGGTATACCGGGGGATTAAGGAGGTATACTGGGGGATTAAAGGGGTATACCGGGGGATTAAAGAGGTTAAAAAGGTATACCCGGGGATTAAAGAGGTATACCGGGGGATTAAAGAGGTATACCGGGGGATTAAGGAGGTATACTGGGGGATTAAAGGGGTATACCGGGGGATTAAAGAGGTTAAAAAGGTATACCCGGGGATTAAAGAGGTATACCGGGGGATTAAAGAGGTTAAAAAGGTATACCCGGGGATTAAAGAGGTATACCGGGGGATACCGGGGGATTAAAGAGGTATAACGGGGGATTAAAGAGGTATACCGGGGGATTAAATAGAAGAAACAATAACTGGGTTTCTGAAGGGTTTTATTTGTTCTACCAGTCCTGATGATGAAGCCTATGTGATACAGGCAAAACTAGTAGATAAAATAAAACCCATTTATTGACAAATATGTTGTGACAAAGTCCTCGTTAACTTATACTTATAAAACTTGATCATTTACAGTGTAAATATTTTGACCTGTAGAAAGATTACTGATTTAAATACGACCACCTAGAGTAACTGATCATAATGTACATCACTTTAACTCATTCATCCCTGAAGTTTCATAATGAACTATTCCAACCTTTGAATTGGAAGAGTTCAAATTTGTTTTCAGGGGTGAATGAGTTAATGTTTATATAGATACAATCCTAAAATGTGAATTGATAGTTAAGATATTAACAGAAACAGATTGAATCTATCAATGTATGGTATACTGCATGTACATAGAAAACCTGTAAGGAGCCTTTACAGAAATTTAAAATTCAATTGAAACAGCTTAAAGATTCTTCTTTTTATCACTTGGTCCAGAAAGTTTTTTTTGTGCACACATGTACATCGAGCTGTACCCGAGGCCATATTTCTGAGAACCATGTTTTCTCTATAACCATCATTAAATCATAAGTATCCCCATTTTGATGTAAATCATGTCAAACATGTATCAATCATGGACTTTTATAAATGTGTGGTTTAATATATCTGAGAATTTGAAGGTGATATTGACTGAGACATATAGTCAAGGTCCAGAAGGTGATATTGACTGAGACATATAGTCAAGGTCCAGAAGGAGATATTGACTGAGACATATAGTCAAGGTCCAGAAGATGATATTGACTGAGACATATAGTCAAGGTACAGAAGGTGATATTGACTGAGACATATAGTCAAGGTACAGAAGGTGATATTGACTGAGACATATAGTTAAGGTCCAGAAGGTAATATTGACTGAGACATATAGTCAAGGTACAGAAGGTGATATTGACTGAGACATATAGTTAAGGTCCAGAAGGTAATATTGACTGAGACATATAGTCAAGGGCCAGAAGGTGATATTGACTGAGACATATAGTTAAGGTCCAGAAGGTAATATTGACTGAGACATATAGTCGAGGTCCAGAAGGTGATATTGACTGAGACATATAGTTAAGGTCCAGAAGGTGATATTGACTGAGACCTATAGTCAAGGTCCAGGAGGTGATATTGACTGAGACATATAGTCAAGGGCCAGAAGGTGATATTGACTGAGACATATAGTTAAGGTCCAGAAGGTAATATTGACTGAGACATATAGTCGAGGTCCAGAAGGTGATATTGACTGAGACATGTAGTCAAGGTCCAGAAGGTGATATTGACTGAGACCTATAGTCAAGGTCCAGGAGGTGATATTGACTGAGACATATAGTCAATGTCCAGAAGGTGATATTGACTGAGACATACAGTCAAGGTCCAGAAGGTGATATTGACTGAGGCATATAGTCAAGGTCCAGAAGGTGATATTGACTGAGACATACAGTCAAGGTCCAGAAGGTGATATTGACTGAGACCTATAGTCAAGGTCCAGGAGGTGATATTGA